ACCTGAGAGTGCAATTCGCAACGCTGCGATCGCTATCACGTCCCGTGTGTCGGGTTTCACCCTGACTGAGATGACAGCCGTTAATCGCTGTAGTTTGTCGCTCCCCGTGTGTCGAGCCCTTTATGATGACAAAAAACAAGACAAAAATATTTGTCACCGTAAGTCAGCTTACAGGCATATGTTCTGTATATAAAGAAAACAATCACTTCCTTGTCTTGGTGATGTTTCAAACTGTTAAACACTGCCACCAGCTGTTCAGGAGGATTATTACACCCCTAAAAGTTGTGTGTACAGCAGGGTGGCCAAAAATTTGTCTGTGGTGACCATGGCCACCCCTGGCTCCGCCCCCTGTTGACAGCTCGTGCAGCGGCAGCCTGGAGTCAGACTGCAGGTGAAAGCTTTGTGTTTCCTAGAATGTATTTCAACAAGGATTACGTATTTTATATGTATTATATTTTTTTAATGCTTCTTGTAGCATTTCCCACCATAACGGTGTGTTTACGCGCACAGAACTTCGACCTGAATGCAGGTAGAAGCTCAAGTGTGTAGTACTGGGTGGTGATAGGAGGCGATGATTGGGTGTAGAAAAAATTTAGTAACAATATGTTTCACTGCTTTAATCTCTGTGCCTTGAATCAGGGGGTCTCAAACTTTTTGGGACTGGGGACCCCTTTCAAGAGTGAAAAAATTCCAGGGTCTCCCTCATAAACCCCAGTCTGTTTTAAAAGATAAATTACTCTCATTTCAACCCCTAAATGCCATGGGAATACATGTTTTATTTAGTTTATTATGTTTGTTTTATTAGTTCATTTTTCCCCATGCATTTTTAAAAATAAAAACTGGGCTCTCTGCTCTGATTGGATAAAGCTGTGGGGTTTGTTTGATTTAATGAAAGCAGCATCTGTTTAAACCTGTATCGGGCTGGGCGGCTTTAATGAGACCGCAACAGAAAACAAGCGGGTTTCTATTTTCCTCATGTTTTAAAAAATACCCACATGAGCAAAATAACGTCTGTCATTGTCATAAATGTCGGAGTTACTTATTTTTCCATTTATTGCACTGCAAAAACTGTCCATCTTACCAAGTTTTAAAATCTTATATCAGCCAAAAAGTCTTTTTGATCTTGTTTTGAGACTGATTTACTAAACA